GTGATCTGGATAATTGCACAGTCCCCTTGGCTCCAAGTGAATGGGAACAATTCCCTAGGCCAGCAACAACACCCCCTTGACCTAAGAGCTTTCATTTGGTCAAGGTGTTTGAAAAGTGCTTTCTAAAAACCAGCTCTATTGATAAAGCTAGAATTCCTATGTCCTTTATAACCTCTCATTTCAAATATTTTCCCTTCTTTCTTTTTCCTTCATGCTGTGGAGTTGATTTTCCACACATCTCTGTGCACTTTACCTGACTTACTGTTGAGACAGCAATTTCCAGGCATTAACTTCTAAACATCTATTCATTTCCAATATATATGTGTATATTTTAAATTAACACTGGTTTGCAACACTGCATATGATTCAGAAATTTAGTTTCTTTAGTTAACACTCTAGATAGTAGTTTTTAAAATAGGGTTTATTTTATTTGATAGTAGCAAAAGTATGCATACTTTTCAACACAGGCCGTATATGCAGGTGTTCACCTTGTAAACAGATCATTCTTCTAAAAATGACCATCATGTGTGATTCTGTGTCAGTCTGTCTCCAAAACCATAGATCAGAGGTGTTAGGACCTACCTGCTTTCACCCTATGACTCCTGGGCCAGTCAGGTGGGAGATTCATGAACTGATGCATTGGAGAGTGTTCTCTGATAATGAAGCATTTTGAAATGAGGAGTCATAAAGAAGATCCATAAAAGGCAAATGGGATTCATGGAAATACCATGTCCCACCTTGTTTACTTACTTGGACCTTTATCTATATGATTTTTAAAAGACAATATAGAGCTCTATAAAAATTTTATTTATCAAGTTCACCTATAAAATTAAAGGTACTCGGGCCCTCCCTGGTGGCGCAGCGGGTTAAAGCACTGCACTGAGAACCTAAAGCCACTTCCGCATGAGTTCAATTCCCGCCTGCCCCGGAGGTGACCACATGGTGTGGCAGACCTCTCCTGACCCGCCCGCTGCTCCCCTCAGCAGTGTACTTCGTTGATCTGCCTGTTCTGTTCCCCACTCTGTCTCTGGTGAAGCCGCTCACCGCCCCTGAGCTTCTGGCCTGTACCCCAGTTCTGTATGCACAAATAAATAAATCTTAAAAAAAAAAATTAAAGGTACTCTTTGAATTGTAAATACATTTTGAAATATTGAAAGTACCATATATATATGACTAACAAAGTAACAGACTAACTTTAAAGTAATGCAATTTTAATTGGATAAGCGTACGGATGAGAATTATATATCCAATTGTTAAGTATCCCAACATTTTGGGGGCTATAAGTTTGAGTTAGATCTTAACCATTACCTCATTGTCACAGGTGTCATCTGCTGAATATAGTATCAGAGCAAACTGTTATCTTAGGGCAAGAAAGAAAATAAGGAAGCATATTCTGTTTGATTTTTACCTCATAATTAAAAAAAATACTTTATAATGTATCTTATATGTTAAGAATTAATATATACATGGTCTCACAGGCAGATATAAAAATATTACAGGGTCTTAATATCTTTGTGATGGGCTTTTTTGGTTGTACTTAAAAGAATGCCTGTCTACTTACTATTTCTTTAATAAAAATCTGTCGGTGGTCTTAGTAAGTTAGTAGTACACCATAGAGGTTTCAAACTTTGCATCCTTGCATTTGTCATGTCTGACAAATGTAAACTTTCACATCATGCTGAATTTTATTTATTTTGTGCAATGCCTTTGTGATTTTAGATAAATAGTGTTATAGGAATCGTATGTGTGACATCTTTAGGTAAAATGTGAGGTTTCACATTTATTCATGATTACAGTTTATCTGGAGAATAAATGAACAATGTGCTATCATTATTTGCTGTATTATTTTAAAAATATTTGATAATAACATTTGTTTGAATTCAGTCAAGAGATTGTGAGCATAAGCATAGATATTTTAAATGAGTTTTGGAATTTTCTGTGCTATGGAAATAGAAAATATGAGTACATGTTTAACCTGATATTTGTGTTCATCCACCTCAGACTTTTGCAGAGGCACTTACACGGGACTCTCATCTGCAGTAATGTGTTGGTAGATGATAACTTGATGGGAAGAAAAGTTGATAGAATGAGGTGGGAACCATCAGAGACACTCCTTGTCAGATGGAAACTAATTGATTGTAATTGCTTAGCCATTGTATTGCTGTAGCTTGTTAAAATCATTGATTATGAAATAAGGATCTCATTTTTTTATGCTAGGTTAAACTAAATGACAAGCTGCTCTTAGAGTAACCATCAGTGAATACCAACAATGAATAATAAGAAATTAAAGGAAACTAGCTGGTCATGAGTTCATATACCACAGCAGTCAGCTGTGTGAGAGGTCTCATAGTGAATCTTAAGCGCAGAGCTATTGAATTTTAAATATTTCCCATAAAAAGAGAGTAACTATTTATTACAAACTGTCTTGAATAACAAATCTTTCCTGTAGAGGAAATCTCCTGGAAAACTGAAAATGTACCTGTTTAGGAGAACATTTATATCCTGCCAAAGTATTAATAGGCAGCTATTTTAAAATGAAAAAAATAAGTTTCCATTGTACCACCAAAAAAATAATAGATTCTGTGTATTTCAGTAGCATGTGAACTAGGGTATATAAGAATATGAAGGCAGTGTTTGTCTTACAGATTTCATCAGTATAAGAATGCGGATAGTAACTGATTACACAAATGTGAAATTGTTTCTAAATTTTCTTTGTTAGAGGTGCATTAACTTTTATGATTGCAGTGCAATTTTAATCTTTAATGATTATAACTTTGATCAGTGACATTTACACTGTTAGCGATGTTCAAGTTATCAGACTTAGGAAGACATTTTTACCGAGTACCAAATCCACTTAAGACACACTCTGATCTCAGGAAAGGAACTAAAGTAATAGATAGGCCTTTTAACAAATTGTTATTTGCAAGCAGTGAATGTACTGAAAGCAGCAATATGAATGATAAAGCAGGCAGGCTGGGGGTAAACAAGGGGAATATTGGTTAGCTCTGAAGGGTTTCTGTATGTCTTCCAGCAAAGAAAAAGGTAACTAGGAGTAGTAAACAGAGTGGCAACAATTCCTGGTTTCTGGAGAAATAGAATCTCAGTTGGAAATTAAGTTGCTTTTCTAGGGTGCCACGTGAGACAAGAAAGGAAAATATCCAGATGTTTTCATCTTTTCTTTGTTAACCTTTTGGAGCTATTCCTGTAAAAAGGGGTCCTGCTGCAGATTTTAGATGTGAGAAGATGAGAGTCTGCTTAGTTTGGTTGATGAGAAAGAGGCTCATTGTGACCTCCTCTTATTAAGCTGGTACAGAAGTCTATGTTGTTGCATTATTATTAATGTAGCTCTCTGAAAAGACCATTAAAAGAGCTGAGTTTTAATTAATTTTTGACTTTTTAAATATATTTTTCTTGATTTCACAGTGGAATTGGTACTAATGTTAAATGTCTTCAAACTCTGTTACAGGAAAACTGTCTACATGTGATAAGACTGTGTCCAGTAAATAGTATATGTACATATATCAGCATCATCAATTTCAGATATAAACAGCTTAATTTTAAAAAATTCAGTAATGATCTTAAAAATAAATGTTTGTGATAATACTGAAAGATGATAATTTGGCCCAGTTAAATAATTTGGTCCATTTAAAGATTTAACAGAAACATTCTTCAAATTTGATATTCTATCACAGAATTTGGAACATTTGCATTTTAATTACATAATAAAAGGAGAAAGTGAAAGAATAATTGGCTTAGCTATTAGTGAATTACAGCTGTAACTAAAACAACAACAGCGACAACAACAAAAAGCTGAAATTGATTTCCCCAAAACAGTCACAACATACATTGATCAGATGTTTGATGACATTTGGCAACAACAAAGGAAAAGTAATGCTATCTCAGTTCTTCATATACAAAATGTTTGTTAAACTGAAGTTAATAACAACAGATTTGGGTGTTTGACAGCAGGATCATTTAGTGTTTTCTGTTCATGGGTCCTCAAATGGGCTTTCTAGAGTGATTACAATTATTTTGGTCTGGTGGAGAAAAAAGGCAACAGAATACAGTGGTTTTTTTTTTTGTTTGTTTGTTTGTTTTTTTTTAGTCCCTGGACTACTAGAATAAAATCCCATAGAATGGGTATCCAAAATAACAAAAAATAAACTTATGCCATTGGAAGTAATATGGGTGGAGCTGGAAGGAATGGTGCAGAGTGAAGTAAGTCAGAAGGAGAGAGAGAAATGTCAGGGGGTGTCACTGATACATAGAATACGGTGAAAACAAGCTAAGGGTCAGCAGATCAGATTTAAAAACTAACCCTTGAAAGTGACCTAGAATTGAAACATCCAGAGGGAGGTGAGATGTAGGCACGGGAAGAGAACAAGGAGAGAGAAAGCACAGTGGACTGTGGTGGTGGATGATGAGTGATTTGAAAGTGGGTGCACTGTGGTGACAGTGGTTATGCTAATATTACTGCAAATAAAAATAAATATATAAACAGACAAATAAGATCCTCCCCCTGCCCTGAGAGGGGCGGGGGGGGGGGGAAGCAAAATCCAGAAATGTACTCTTTCAGTTACTGAAGTTGAGTTGTTTAAAATCAAGGTGTTTGCAGAGTTAGTGTCCCGTAAGAGTGCCGGGTTCCTAGAGGGTCTTCACATGACCCACATGGGTGAGGAATCCCTCTGGAGTCTCTTTCATAAGGGCACTGATCCCATTCATGACCTAATATCCCTTAGATCCAGTCTTCTAATACCATCACTTTGGGGATTAATTTTTAATCTATGAATTTGGGGGAGAAAGAAGGGACACAAGCATTCAGCCTTTATTAGTGATCTTATTCAGTTGTACCTGGTCAGTACCAGGGAGGACCCATCCTGTCTGTCTAGATTCCCCGACATTGGCGTCCATGAGAACGCTTTCATGTACAGATTCTAGTCAATGGCAGGATCTGCTGGTATCAGTGCTGATAGCCTTTCTCTGTGTGCTTTCGTTGGCAGATACCACAACATATTCCACGGAGAGATCTGAGCACTTCAAACCCTGCCGAGACAAGGACCTGGCATACTGTCTCAATGACGGCGAGTGCTTTGTGATCGAAACCCTGACTGGCTCCCATAAACACTGTCGGTAAGTGGCTGTGAAGACTGGCACTTAAAGCCAAGTTTTCAGGGATGCCCGGGGGCAGTGGTCATCTGTGGTGAATACAGTCCAACTGTTTGAGTGACAGATTCAATAGTCTAAGTTGAAGAGGGATATAATTTAGTATTTGAGGAGCACAAAACTGAATTCAAGTAGTCAAGGCTTAAATGTTACCCTGAGCACGTAAGGGAAGACTGACTTTCATATCTACCAGTTGAATAAATAATTATTTTTGTTAACTTTAGGAGTGCATATTTATGGCATGGAGCTTAGACACTTTATGCTGGGACTCAAATTATTCCTTCTGGCGTAGCTACGGACTGTGACACAGTAACACAAACTGTTCACTAAGATTTAGAGTCCCAGTGTTTATTGTGAACCAAACCCAGTGACTGCAACTGTGTCTAGACTGTGTTTTATCTTTATTCTGCCCTCATTTATTAATTTAAATTTTTTTAAACACCTCTGATGATGAAACCCTCTTCAGCAAGATGTTGTAAATGAAATCATAGTCCTATTAAAGTTGAGATAGAGAACTACTTAGGGAAAATTCCCAGTGGAGATCAGGAAGGTGTTTAATTGGTTTTTTGAGACATAAGGTTATGTAACTGCTAAAAATAAAAACAAGTGGAGATAAATAGTGTACTTGTAGACACTGCAGCTTTAAGTATCCACAGAAGAATCAAATTAACATCAGAAAAATACTTCCCACCGAGCTTTTATTTCTAGCACTACTCTGGTAATTTGTTTTTCTTTGCAATTGTACATGCTTCAATGATCTTCTTTATCCACACCCCTTTCCTTCTCTTTATTTACTCTTCTCATATGACACAGCTATTAAATTAATTATTCTGAATCATGAAACATGGAAGATTATGACTTTTTTCACTCTCTGGTGCTATTATAAAAATTTCTTCTATGTGGCTTTGTTAAGTTGGCACAAAGAAACACATCTTACAGTCATGAACTTGCAACATGTCAGCAGCTCTTGTCTGACTCTATGAAGCAGCTTCTGTTTATGAGGAGGGTAGGTTAGTGGCCACAGAGCTCGGAAGACACAAGTTAGGTGGGAGTACCATGCATCCTGTCAAAGGTTACAGGGCTGTATGTCTTCTCTGCCTTGACATGGCAGTTTTCATGTTGCTTGGGCAGTGCCATTGGGTTTTTCCCCATCTATAAAATTGACATTCTGTCTCTGTCTTCTTTGAATCTGGGTGGAGGTTGAGGGCATGTGAGGTTGTTCCTTTCCAAATTCCTTTTCTCTTGCTGTGTTTATGAATTAACATGGATATAGGTGGAAAGCACACAGTAACTGAGACCTCATGGGAAAAGCCAAGAGTGACTTACTTTTTCAAAGCTTAACATGCATTTAAGCCCCAAGCACATGTAAGAATTATCTTTGCCGATCCAGTGGGATTGGCACTGTGAAATGGGTAGTGCAACTAAATTTATAATCCTGATCAATTGATGAAGAAATGTATCAGAAGTTTCATTTAAAAACAGTGAACTTCTTGATATTTTACTCTATTAAAAAAATAAGTAAGTTCTTAGGGTAAAATATCAGATCAACCCCTACCATCTCTTTCCCATGGTATGCAGGCCAGTATGACTCATCTTTTCCAAAGTTGAGTAGTCAAAACACCTAAAATGATCCTTGTTCTCTCTTGCTGTACAACCTCACTGTGTTTTCTATTTGTTACTGCACTGATTTGTTTGCTAGGTCTGCTACAGCAAAGTACCATAGGTCGGGTGATTATAATAGCAGAAATGTATTTTCTTACAGTTCTAGAGACTAGAAGTCTGAGTGTGTGCACTGGACTGTTGCCTTCTGAGGGCCCCAGTGGGAGGATTTCTTTCAGGCCTCTATTCTTGCTGCTGTTTGTTCCCCATACTGTCTCATGCTTTATTTCTGTAGATGTGTATCCACATACCCTCTTTGTATGAGGACAACACACACACCAAATCAGGATCCACTCTAATCTCCCTATTTTACAATTTAAGTATGTCTTTAAAGACCTTTACTCCAAATATGGTCACATTCTGAACTGTTGTATGTTGGGATGTCAGCATATGAATTATTTGGGAGAGATAATTTATCTGTAACAATCTCAGGTGCAGAAAAATTTCTTTCCTTTAGAACATATGTATATGTTTGATTATTGGAATGTAAACAAGCAGAGCTATAGCTATGGTTTAACTGGAACAATGTACAAGTATAATAATTTTGACCTACTGTCTTCATATTTCTTGCATATTTCAGTACAGACAACCTGTTATTTAACATAGAGTCACAACATAGCTAATCATGACAAAAGACCAGCCTAAGATAGAACTGGAACTCGAGTAGGTTAATAGATGCCTATAAATCTCCTACTAGTGTGTATGAATAAATCACACATCGAATGTGTCAGCCATTCATCTCCCAGGCTTTGCTGTGAATAAAAGGCTTACATTTGTTCCTGCATCAGCCACTTCTAAGAATTCCAATGTAGTTATTAATAATGTGCCATTTTGTACAGCACTCTATTTAATAGTACGTTCCATTCATTCTTCTCCATTCGACAACTGTTTATTGAGTACCGTGTAGTAACACAAGATACTGTTGCATAAATACATACTAAAATGAATTTAGGAATTAAATGGCACTACACTTTGTAATGTACTTGGAGTAAGTAAGTGAAATACTTCATCATTAGAAAATGAGAAAAACAAGGGAAAGTACCTTCGTGTGACTAGCATGCTACCAGGGATATCTTTATGACACATTATTAGCTGGATAATGTTTCAAGTTGAATAACACACCATTTAGTAGCTCAGAACAGCAATATAAAGGGGTGTACATGAGCATAGTTCATTGATTTACCTTTCACATATTTTAAAAGATTCACATCTGAGAGATTTTAAGATTATGTTTTCTAATATTTAAGGAATAGATTGCAATACTATGATGAAATGTATAAGACAATTTTTCTATGCTGTGTGAAGTTGATCATGTGGGAATACTTTTCTGCTTTGTGCTAAGGGAAAGAAGTAGTAAAACTGTCTAGATATTTCTGGTAGAGATCCTGAAAGTGTGCTCAAATGTGAGAATCTTAGGATAATTTTTCTTGTATATTTTTTCTTTCTTCACCTTTCCATACATGTTCAATCTTGCAAAAAATGTATTATTCATAATTAGAAAATATAGAACAAACTAACAAAATATTAAGATGCACCACCATCTAAAAACTAGATAGAAGGTTTTTTTTTTTTTAAAGATTTATTTATTCGTACAGAACTGGGGTACAGGCCAGAGATGCAGAGGGTGAGAGGATTCACGAGAGACAGAGAGGGGAGCAGAACAGGCAGATCAACGAAGTACACTGCTGAGGGGAGCAGCGGGCGGGTCAGGAGAGGTCTGCCACGCCATGTGGTCTCCTCCGGGGCAGGGGGGAATTGAACTCATGCGGAACTGGCTTAAGCTTCTTAGTGCAGTGCTTTAACCCGCTGCGCCACCAGAGAGGGCCAATATAGAAGGGTTTTTAAAGCATGATAAATTGACAAACGTGATCTTGTTAAATTTTATATACACTATAAAGTTATATACCGTTGGTTGACTGATTAGTAAAGATGGACCTAGTATTTAGCATTTAGCAGTTAATGAAACTAAATGTAGAATAAGGAAATACTCAGGAAAAAAAATGAGAGAGTAATTGTTCAACGAAATTGACTGACTATTAGGTAAAAAGTTTCAAAGTTTGGTATCTCTCTTCTGCCTAAATAGCAGAAATTGTTCTTACTTTAGTCAAGATTTAATATAATTAATTATTAAATAAAATACTTGAGGAAATGATAAACTAATAATTGTATATTTATGGTGTCCTTAAAGAGACTTTTGAACATTAAATTGTGGAAGGGAAACAATAAACAGCCTTAACACTATCATTTCTGTACCTGAAAATTTCAAATCAGAAATAATAATCTCTCAGATAATGTCTCGGTGAACCTTAACAACACTTATGGCAAATAATATCTGAATAAGTCATATAGAAACTAAGAATAAACTTTACTTTTATTTAGATTTTAATCTCAATAGGAAAACAGGCAAAGAAGAGTAACATGTTCTCTTAAAATAACCAATATGCATTCAAACTAATATAAATCTTTGTTACTTAGCCTATGTTTAAATGATTTTTTAAAGATTTATTTATTGATTCACCTCAGGTTTACTTATTATAATAACCAAATATATATATGTATGTGTGTGTGTGTGTGTGTGTGTGTGTATTTACATTTTTCCAATTCTATAAATTAGAATCTGTACATTGGATGAATTCAACATAAATAGAAACTTCAAAGTAGTTTAACAACATGTAACTACTCAATATATCATTTTATGTGTGAAAATCAGGATATAAAATTCTAAAGTTGAACATAGAATGGCAAGCCAGTAATGAAAAAAGCTAACTTAAAAAAAAGATAGGTTTTATGGCTTTTTTTCTTTGAATTTTTACAATTTCTAAGATCTCTCCATTGCACATGTATTTCATTTATGTAACACCTGGTTAAGCCACTTGACCCTGCTTCTCATCTTTCCATTCAGAGTGATAGATAGTATCCTTGTTTGAGTGAAATTGAGATCACTATAATTCACTATTATTAGGCTGGTAAGAGAAATTTCCATTAAGCCCTTTCAGATTAAATGCTACCTGCTCTATTTGAATGTATCATTCCTCCTTTTGTTAATAATTCATTTATAGTCTTTACAATAATTCTTTCTTATATTAAATTCATATGTTTTGAAACATTAAAAAAATGGGGTTAAATAGTAGGAAGATAGATCCTAGAGAAATGAAACTGGATAGAGAAGGAAGGCACATTACTAGAAACATCTTGAATCAAAACATCCTTAGTAAAAACAGGATCTTCTCTAACATATTTACTTTATGCTATTTCTAGAAAATTTAAGAACTTGGGAAATGGGACTATCTGAAATGTATTTCACCAGT